GCAGCACCCGCAAAACGAAACGCCGATCCAGCACCAGCACCAGCAGCACCCGCAAAACGAAACGCCGATCCAGCACCAGGCACGAGCAGCACCCGCAAAAGTGAAACGTTGATCCAGAGCCGCACCATTGAGAATTAAGAGCCCCTATAGCTTGCAACTATCTGAGGAAAAACCTACCCATAGTGATCGTCAGAAGGTACGGTACTAAAACGGTGGTCTCTATTTCAATACACACCCTATGAGGAGACCTCCCCAAGACTCCGTGGAAGAAGGGAAATAAACCAAAACCCACTGGTTGGGTATCCCCCTATTCAAATACACACCCTGTATCACCCTACTTCAAGACCGAACTGATGTGGTTGCCGCCAGTCTGCCGAACTACTCGTCGTGAAGTCCGGATTCAGCTACAACGCATTGTGCTACAGGCCAGTACAGAACAGGAACCTGACAAAGTCATCCCTTACTCACCCCTTCCCACTATTTCAATGCCAAGTCACCATGGCAACGCTGTTTCCAAGAAGTCATCCCCCAGTCACCCCCGGAGCTGATCCCAATGGAACGCTGATATGCAAACAAAATTTCTCACCCAGAAAGTAGACCCAAAGAGTGCAGAGAGCAATGGAAAACTAGTTCTAAAAGAGTGATTGATTGATTTACATCTGCTTCCTGCGTGTCAGTCCCAATGGAACCCTGTAGAGATTCTGCCACCAACTTTGATTACATCAGGTGACCCGAAAAGAGCTAATCCGCAAGCAAGTAGTGGCCCGATGCGATCGGGTCACATCAGGGGCACATCAGGGTCCTGTTTACAAGGCGTTTACAGCTTTTCATCGATTGAAAGAAAGATTGGGGCTTGCATCAAAAATCATGAAATCCAATTACAGTGTGGAAGCAGCCAAGCAGTGGCAGCAGCACACAAGCTCTCCCAATAGCTCTCGCTATCTTGCCGTAATCTTTCCAAGTCCACAGGTGTTCCAATGCGAACTGCACTGGCAAACCTGGATATGACTGTGTTGAATCCCTGTACTTGTCTCGCATGTATGTGGAAAATCCCTTCTGAACTGCTTGCAGGACCCATTGCAGAATAAGAAACTAATGGCTTCAGCAGGCACTATTAACCCCTATGGGTTGCTAGTATCGCGTTCAAACACCTTCGATAAGAGCCCAAGCATACAACCTAAAAGTAGGTCCCTTTCCAACCAACAGAGTTAGCTTGTGTTTGGGAAAAAAGAGATGACTTTCCGCAGAGCATTCCCCCCAAGGCAGGGTAGCAATACCTCAAAAAAAGGACGACATTGTCTTTTGCCTGTAACAAGCCCAAGACATGGCAAAACGCATATTTAGAAGTTGCTGCCTAAATTCCTCCAGCCCTGGCAGACCTGAGAGCAGCCACCAGACCAAACGGGCACCCTGGCAGCAGCGTCTGCTTGCCAGCGCGGAACCTGGGATCCTCCTCGCCTTGGCCGGACAAATTCGGGCCGGAACTGGGATTGACGCACTTGGCACTTCCTGTCAATGACGATCGCATGGGATCTATAGTCTATATATATATATAAACACAATAGGATATAATAAAATTGCATTAGAACCTAATATACTTAATATTGGTGTTAACATATATTAACCATCTGTATGATGTAGGCTCTTGATTGATAACCCCCCGATTTGGATTGTAAAACCATTCATATGAGCGGTTTTATTAAATGTCTACACATATCTATATGTGAACACACACACTATCTATCTATCTATCTATCTATCTATCTATCTATCTATCTATCTATATATATATATGTATGTATACACAATGGGATGTGATAGGGGAGTAGTTCAAACTGTTTGGTTTTGACATGTGTTGATCAACGAGACCCACTTTTAAGCTGTGGCAGCCGTTCAAGGCACGTCTCAAGGCATGAGAAGCTGCGTGAGTGATCCCCACTAACCCCACCACACACGTGGTCACCAATTCCCTGGCAGTTTCATAATGGTCTCCCTATTCGGCTTTCTTGGACTGCCCCCCCCCCCATTCCAACCTCTTCAGCTACCTGAAGCATCTTTTGATAAGTGTGCCATATATAATACAGTGGAGATCTCAGAGTTGCGCTCAAAAAGATCTGGGACCCACTAGCTGTGCGAGCTCTTGGTGTCTATTTCTCTTGCATGTGCCTCAGGTTGGCAGTGGTCTTGGTCCCGGCCATCTTATTTCGGGGACATCCTGTGTCTTGGACGGGGGACTTCTCTGGAGTCAGTTCGGTGTGTCTCATTGTTACCAGCTCTCTGGAAACCCCGACTACAGTTGAAGAGTTCGCGAGCGGAGTGTCCGCGGAGTGTCCGCGAGCGGAGTGTCGGCTGTGTCACACAATCTTGGCGTGTCGTGTCCGAGTCCTACTTGGAACAAGGTGCATCGCTACTAGTAGCAAGCAGCTAAGTGCATGACTACTAGTAGTAACAAGAAGCTACTGGTAACAAAACACTGAAAGCCGCGTCATTGTTGTACACTCAAAGAGGTCAGCTGATGACGCTCAAGAGGACATGTACAACAATGACAGATCGAGCTCCCCTAAGAGCCGCTCCTAAACACAGCTGACTGTGCCCATAAACTGATGTTCTTGATCTTCCCAATAAAATATCAAACCAACAGTTTCGAGAGGCAGGAGTGTCAGATTATAACCGATTCATATTCCAAAACTGTATTTTTGTCCTTTCTTTCTTTCTGTCTGTCTGTCTGTCTTTCTTTATTTATTTCTTTATGTCGTTCTTTCCTTCCTTCCTTCCTTCCTTGCTTGCTTGCTTTCTTTCTTTCTTTCTGTCTGTCTGTCTGTCTTTCTTGCTTGCTTGCTTTCTTTCTTTCTCTCTCTCTCTCTCTCCCTCCTCACTCCCTGACTCCCTCACTTCCTCTCTCTCTCTATCTCTCCATGCCGAATAAACTACCGTCCGCTGCTAACCACTGAATGTTATCAATAGGATCTCTCAGGGATTTCATGTCTAAAATCACTGGGCTCACCAGATTCTCAAGAGAAGACAGGGTCAGACTGGATACCAAGTAAGATACATCTGCGCTGCTCCACGCCCTTCGCCGTTGAGGACATCCTTCCTCCATCACTTGATCCTGTTGAGCCAGAGATCAGAAGCATCTCTGGGTGCCCCGAACGGCACGGCTCTTGCTCAACCCAAGGATTGGTCAGGAGATCGATGCTCATGGCATCGATGAGGCTTTAAAAGGATCTTGAAAAAAGGGGGCAGAAGCCGGCAGAAGCCAAAGGGTCAGTATTATAGTTATAAGTTATATATATATATACATACATACATAGAGTATCTTCAAGTAGAGTGATTAAGTAAAGAAACTTCCCCCAAAGCCACTGCAAGAAACGTTTCTTTGCTCGGGTGTTGAAGAGTTCCAAAGTTCTCGACCACTCGACTGTCAAAAGCAAGTATCCCCAGACCATGCTTGTTGGATATGCTTCCTATTCCTTATCTTCTTGTTGGCTTGGTTCTGCTTGCATGTATAGAGCAATTGACAACCAAAGCGAGAATCTGGTGGCACATATCCAACAAATTGCCAGGGAGACTTATATGCATCAAATAGGCGTCAACATTCTCAGAGATGCCTCGCAATGTTTGGATCAAATCGGATCAAACGTCATTTGATGTACCTCAACGGGCTCGCGTTTGGTCCGTAAGGTGTCCGCGAAGGCGTGCTCGCAGGTTTGGTAGAGATCCGGAGGGTACATTCTGCCGAGGGAAAGCTCTTTCAGGCATTGCACTCCTGAAAACAAATGATTGTTCCACGTGTCAGACTCTGAAAATCCACAGGAATATAATAGAAAAATAGGACCTGTGTATAATATTAACTCCTTCAAGTTGATCATTCATCTCCAAAAGGAAAAAAAAGCACTTCGTCACTTCGTCAGGCTGTCTTTCATTCGCTACTGTGCTACTTCGTTAGCTCAAAGGCAATGGAGAAAAAACATATTCCCCAGAGAGGAGTTACCTCACTCACAGGGAAAAGTAAAAAAAAAAAGGGTAGGCAAAACGAGGCAATGACTGGACCCCCGCTCAGATTTCTTCTTGATGAGAGGACGAGTTCTGTCTTTGCCGCGAGGATCCCGAACGTGTGTTCTGCAGGCACACGCGTTCGGCGCTGAACAGAGCCGGGAATGCTGAGTAGAGGCAGGTCACCCATGAGCATATATAGCTTATCATACAGTGTCAGGTTGGTTCAATCGGGAATGGAAAGGTGGATCAAGTTGTTGGAGATTTCGGGAGTGTTTCTCACATGTTAATTGGCAGTTGGTTGTTCAGCTTGTTCGCAGCAGGCGCGTTTCGAGCTCCAAAGTTATCCACCTCCCCGTCGCGTCGCTTCGGCATGATTTGTTTCCTTTGCTAAGCAAGCATTGTGAAAGCCGCCCCCAACTGTTTCTACGCATGAGCAAAGCCTGCTGAAAGCTTCTCTTGAACTGAGCTGGATTGAAATGATTTTGAACATTGGTGAACATTGTAATTCCAGGCCAAGCTTGCTGTACCGCAAACAGAAGGGTCGCTGGCCCGGAAGTTACTCGCTGGTGGCGTAACTTTGCATAGCAACTTCATGGGTACTCCTTTGAGGACATCCTCATGACTTGCGTGCCAATCGTTGTGACGCGCAATCTCCTGTAGCTTCCTTTTGACAAGTGGGTTGGGGAGGCCGTTGGCACAGAACAGTTTGTGCAAGGTCGTCTGGCCTGGCAGCCTGTTTTGAGCTTGTTGGTTGGAAGAAATATGGAGACATAATAGTTGGCTTGACAAAAAATGGAAGAGCTGAAACAGGTCGCCAGAAAGGGCCCTGGGTCGTGGATTTGCTGCGGACTTCGTGCTGGCGCCGCAAAGGATCCTCTGAAGATCCCAGGACTGCCTACCCGCAGATCCAAGGTTGGCACCCGTCAAAACGTCCGCATGAAATACCCACGCCATGGAATCTGTCCATAGGAATTAGGAATCCATAAGTTTGGGAATACCTGGGCAGAAAAACCATCAAGTTTCCAGTCTCGGTCACGGGTCCGGGAAGCAACAGGAGAATGGCCGAGCCTTTCGGCCGCTGCAGTGGGCCTGAACACCCCGCAACAAAGCCCGAGGTCTGGGGAACCTGAAACACAACTCGCTACGACCAACCCCTCGCTGCGCAGTGCCGACGTCTGCCGGAATCTGCCGCCAGAGGTCACTGCGACCACATGGCATCGCATCAGGAACCGAGTCCAGGCTGAGAATCCGTACGCAAAAGGACAATGTTTAATCTGATCTTCTGGGTGGGTAGCTGCTTTGCCTGCCTGAGAACCCGTCCAGCTCCTAGCTTGCACTTGGATGGTTTTAGCAACGCCAACGGTGGGACACAAAATAATGTTTCTTTACTTCTGTTCCGTTAACCGTTGCCCCTGGCTTCACTAGCAAGCTGGCCCCCCAGCCGATCAGCATAGATGTGTCAGTGTCAACATTACATCTTAAAACGTTTAAACCTATGGCCTCCTTACACTCTTCTTGGCCTCCCAGAACTGACCAACTGGCAAAGCGCATGCGGCTTTGGTTTTGCAAAGGGGACACATCGACATCGTGGAACCCTTCCAGACAAAAAACAAAGAATGGTCATTCATGTACCAATAATATGAAGAAGTTGTTCAATCCAAAGAGGGGTGTCAATCAAGAGTTGACATTGGAAATTAGCATCACTAACCTCCAGGATATGGCTTGCACTTTCTTGGGATGCGACTTCATGAGACCACGCCACTGCCAGTGGCGGAACCACATCTCACTCGCTCTCCTTGCGCCTGCAAAGCCAAGCTGCAAAGTTTGTGAAACACTCCATGCTCGACTGGTGACTCAACAATCAACGAAATTGTTGAACCTAGATTTTGGTTTGAGCCTCCTCGCATACTTCCCAGCGGCAGCAGCAGCAGCAACAACAACAACAACCTGACATCTCTTTGGACCGGCTCTGGACATCACCGTAATCAAACACAAGCAAGCATGACGCAGCAGGCAAGACA